AAGAGAATTTCAAGAAGGAAGGGTTATCAGCATCATCAAATTAAGACAGTAAAGAAGGTGAGGATGACTAAGCCTGCTAGCTTCAGAGACCAACTGGAGGCTGGCCAGTGTCCTCCTTATTACCAAATGTAAACATCTTTGCTGTCAATGGTGGAGGAGATTTGGAGTGGTTAATCAAATCTCAAAAAAAAAGAAATGGCCCCAGTTTTCAGAATGTAGACTACGAGAAGCAGGCTTCCTGTGAACCCTTTGAAAAGTCTGGTTGACCCCTTGCCTCAACTCTCTGATGTGGCAAGATGGTGAAAGATAAACCAACCAACCAATACACCTGTTTTTTTAGATACAGTAACAAGAGCAACACCTTACACCTCTTCTTCTTTAGCTTATTTTATTAGAATACAATATTATTCCTCCATTTATAATTTTTAAAACTTGAGGCTCAGATGGGGTTAAAGTACTTTCAAGTCATACATCCCCCTAATATAGTGATCCTGAAAAGATTTCTGCTGAAAACACCTCCAAGCTTTTGTCTCTGTTTTATCCTTCTAATCCTGCACTCCTTAAAGGGGCAAACCACCAGCCTTTCCTCCAAGCTACCCCAAGGGTTTAGTAGTCCACCGACCTTTGGTAGTTGAGGAAGAGCAGAAGACTCTGTGATGATATCTCGGATAGTTTCTCAAAGAAGAAAACTGATTTGATCTATGTAGTCCTGGTTCCTGCCCAGATCAGAGTTTATCATAATACCCTGAAGTTGATTGGTAATTGCTCCACCAAAAAGTCCCTGAATGTCAACCATACAGTTGGCTGGTCAGGGATGGCTGGATGGAAATAGATGGGCAGAAACTTTTGATAGGCCCAATGAATGATTAACAGCAGAAATAAAGCAGCACTGTTTACCTAAGCTCCTTCCTCTTTGCTAGTCCTCATTCTTCATAACATGTTGCAATCGTTTATTTTCTCCTCTGCCAACCATTTCCCCTAAGTGGAAAGGTAATTGAAGCCAGAATTCTTTTTTCTTTTCATAAACACACAAGGGTTGTGCAAGTCACAGTCCAGCGAGCCTGGAAACCTTAGATACTGCGAGGTTCAGACAGGCTCCGCAAAAATGATCCACTTTCCATGACACTAGGTCCAGTAGGTTTTCCTGGAGTTTGAGAACTGATATTCTTGCCCAGAGCTTGTCTCTGTCCCACCCCAAGGAATTACAAAAGGTGGGGAATTTATCAAACATGTATTGGGTTTCCACTATGTGCTGAGTTATCTAGAACATATTCAGAGTTCAGCAAATGTTAACTACTACTACATGTCAGGCACCAGAGGGTTTCCAGAAATTGATCTATCCAGTGTGCTCAGAAGAACACAATGAAGGACCAGCCATGTTTCTTCTCACATAGATCTAAAAAGACCACAAGCATTGACATTGTCCAATTAAGCTACTAATCCTCAAGGTTAAGATTTGTGTGCTCAGAAGACTGCTATTAAAAGGCTATTCTTTCTGAGAACTTCACTTTTTCTGTAATAAATATAAAAGACCCAGAAGAGTTTCCGAAAAGGAGCTAAACTACAACAGGTTGAGTTAATCAAGGAAGTTTTTACAGAAGATGTGACATTTGAGTAAAAGGTAGAAATTATTAGATAAAAGTGGTAAGGATATTAGACGTAAAGAAACCATGCACTACGTCACCAAGGTGAGACGCTGATTTGACAAGAATGAACATAGAGGAGGATTCCAGATTGCACAGTCTTGAGCACTAAATTGGAAGAAATACCACATTTAAAGCTGCTATTTCTTTAAAGTACCGTTTCCCAACGTGTTGAAGTCCTTTCATTTACTTTCCACAGTGACTCTTGCAGATTTTTCTCTCCAGATCACCAAATTGTCACATTCCCTCTCAGTAGATGCTCTTACCTCCTACTTTACTAAAAATCATTCTACCTTAGCTTTATCGGTGTCAAATTTTCCCTCCTATTCACTCCTCATTCAGAGGAGAGTTGTTTCTTCTCTTCCTGCCTCATTTTCAATGCATCTCTCATCCTGAAATGTCCCTTCAATTTTACCAATACTGTAAATTCCACCTTTCTTCTTTGGTGTGATGCTGAACTTCTCAAAGGTATGGTTTATTCTACCTGCCTGTTCTTCCTCATTCATCACTCCACCTGTTGCTTTCCCATCTGGCTTCTACCCACTCTTCTACTGACATGTCTCTCTGAGGCATGCCCTTAGGTCCAAGTCCAAAATACCTTTAATTCATTTCTTATGATCTGTCTGCAGCCTTTGTCACTGCGGATCATTTCCTTTCTGAAACTCTTCTCCTTTGGCTTCCATGACACTAAATTTTCCTGATTCCTTTAATTTAACTGATTTCTCTTTCTTAGTTATTGTTACCTCCTCTTCCTCCTTCTCATTCCTAAATATAGATATATCTCAGGCTCTTCTTTTAAAAAAAATTATCTTCGCAATTTTAATGATCTTGCTTTCTGTCACAGCTTTGACTATTACCAGTAAGAAGACTAGCCAGAACTACATTATTTCTGATTACTCTCCCAAACTCAACACTTACTTTCTTGGGTCTATTTATTGCCCACTGGACATCTTACAAGCACTTTACCCTCAGCACATCCGAAGAGGAATTTCTCATTTCCTGCAAACAAGCTTCACTTTCTGACCCCAACTTTTTCTGACCTCTGGTTCTCAGGAATAAAATTTCAGATTCACTTTTGAACTCCTCCTCTCCCTCACCCTTCAATGTTTGATTAGTTGGCAGGTTGTTTTGATACGAGTTTTGCAATACCTCTCGTGTCTGCTGCTTCTTTTTCATTTCCGCTGCCATCAAACCAGTTTGGGTTGATAGTGCCTCCGGTATGGACTATTGTAGGAGTCCTTTCATTGGTTTCTCTTAGTTCTTTTCCCTCATCAACCAATAACACAACATTGTGAGAGAAATCTTTCTTTATGTTCTGTCCTTATTACTTCCTTGTTTGAAAGGTTTCCATGTCTCCATGGTCTGACTGCCAAAAAACAAGTGTATATTCTCTGCCTACCAAAAGTAAGTGTATATTCTCTGGCATGTCATTTAAAACCCTCCATAAACTGACTTTGACTTATCTTTCCAGCCACCTTCTCTCACCAATTTCCATGCTTCATCTAGGCCAGTCCAGGCTATGTGCAAGTTCCTAAACATATCCCATTTTTTCTGCCTCTGTGGAGTGCCTTCTAAAATTATTATTAGAAATTCATTTTACAACGTTAAAAAGCTTTAAGAGAATAAACACGTATAATTTTACATTCTAAGACAATTGTTTTTATCTGTGCATATTATTGTCTAGTCCTTTCCCACAAGAATAAAGGTTTTACATAAATGCAATCGTAAGCCCTTATTAAATATTCTATTTTTACTTAAGATTATATTTTTAAGATTTTCTACTTCCTCATATTTATCACCGTATAAGTCTGCATTACATTTGAAGTACCAAATTTATTCAAAATTTTCCTAAGAGTAGACATTTCAAATGCTTGTAAGGTCCTCCTAGATAGACAATATATATAAATAAGAAGTAGCTTCAATTTCAAATCATTTTGCTCCAGTTAGATTAATCCTAGGAATGAATTTACTTGGTTAAAAGTCTTATTATTGGCCAGGCGTGGTGGCTTACACTTGTAATCCCTGCACTTTGGGAGGCTGAGGCTGGCAGATCACCTAAGGTCAGGAGTTTGAGACCAGCCTGACCAACATAGAGAAACCCTGTCTCTACTAAAAATACAAAATTAGCCAGGCGTGGTGGTGCGTGCCTGTAATCCCAGCTACTCAGGAGGCTAAGGCAGGAGAATTGCTTGAACCCAGGAGGTGAAGGTTGTGGTGAGCTGAGATGGCGCCATTGCACTCTAGCCTGGGCAACAAGAGCGAAACTCTATCTCAAAAGAAAAAAAAAAAATCTTATTATTGTCTTACTCCATTTCTCAAATATTCTTTCCATCAGGAATGAACAAAAAAAAAAAAAAAAAAATCTTATTATTGTCTTACTCCATTTCTCAAATATTCTTTCCATCAGGAATGAACTCCTTAATCTTTGTCTCCAGTTCTTACTCACTTTTGAAGGCCCAAATAACTGTGACTTCTTCCTTGACGATATTCTTGCCTCCTCCTCCCAGACAGAAGTGAACCTCCTCTCATCTGAGCTCTCATAGCCCACTGTAGTCTGAAAAATGTTTAGTTCATTCTAACCACTCTAAAATAATGCTATGTGTGTACATGTCTTGTGTCTACTAGTAGACTCCCATTATTTCAAGCTGGCTTATATATTTTGGTTGCATTTTATCCAGATATCATATGTATTCCAGGTAGCAGTCAGAATGAGAGGTGGGAGAAGCTTGTCACACCAGCTCAGTATGGCATCTTGATTGAAAGCCCTAGGATTCTTATTCCTTCTACCCTCTAAAAAAGGACAATTTAAGTAAAAAACTGTTTAAAATTTTTGTTTCTAAAAAAGAGAAGAAATATATTCACTTGTGTTGCACCATCTCTAATCTACTATGCAGGACGAAGTTTCATTCAAGAGGCAGTAAGCGATTTTCCTGCAGAAGATTTGGAAACCTGTTTCCATAAGCCAGATGTGGGCAAGACTGGGAGGAGAGTTTGGGTCTTAGCTCTCCTTCTGTCCCAGTGGGTCATTTTTAAGGATGTAACTATTCCAAGCATCTTTTCCAAAATGGAAGGTTAATTTTTGCCTCATAAGTTGCAGTTAGTTTTGGTTTCCTAATTCATGGTCTCGTGTTAAAAGACGGGGTACTCTCTTGGTTGAGATCAGAGTTTCCCCATTCTCCTTACAGACTGGAAATTAAGCCCTCTGTGCTCCAATAATATGTTGCTAATTCTGGCCTTAGACAACCGCTACATTTGGCCTTTTCACATTCTGAGAAACACACACACACACACACACACGGTGCATTATACAACTGCAGTTGGCAATTTCAGCCCAATAAGAGGTACATCTGAAACCAATTTCAGAACCAAGAAGAAATTTTATTCATAGGTTTATTTCTATTACATCTGCTCAGCTGCAGTGTTACAACAATTTTGCCTTCAACTCAGCTTTCTTTAGCTCCAGAGAATATTTTAGCTCCTCCATTGTCATGCCACTTTCCTTTAATTGTTGCATAAAGTTCTCTATGGCTTCGCAGAGGTCCTTACGCTCCTGAAAGGCAAGCTGAAGAAAGAAAATATTTTACAAGTTACAACGTAAGGACTGAGACCCGGCTATATACTCTGAAGCCAGTGAGCAGCAGTTAGCTCTCTGAATGGGGGCTCAGAACCAGGCTAGCTTACGTAAAGATTTGGGTTTTCAACATGATGAATCATTTATATCTTCTGGCTTAAATATGCTTATTAATACTATCCCAATAATAAAGATGAACTAAAAGAAGAATCTCAATGTAAATGGATCTGTTCAGTGTTGTTTGTTTAGTGTTGGAGCCTAGAAGGATTTTAGAGACTTTTCCAATTCTCATGCATTGTGCTTATGTGCCTTGCCCTATAACAGGGATGCCCAACCCCAGGGCCACAGACCAGTACCAGTCCATGATCTATTAGGAACTGGGTCACACAGCAGAAAGTGAGCAGTGGGCAGGCAAGCAAAACTTCAGCTGTATTTATAGCCACTCTCCCTCGCTCACATTGCTGCCTGAACTCCACCTCCTGTCAGGTCAGCGGTGGCATTAGATCCTCCTAAGAGTGTGAACCCTATTGTGAACTGCTCATGCGAGGGATCTAGGTTGACCCCTCTATGAGAATCTAATGCCTGATGATCTGTCACTGTCTCCCATCACTCCCAGATGAGAATCTAATGCCTGATGATCTGTCACTGTCTCCCACCACTCCTAACTAGATGAGACCCTCTAGTTGCAGGAAACAAGTTCAGGGCTCCCACTGATTCTACATTATGGTGAGTTGTATAATCATTTTATTATGCATTATAATGTAATAATAATAGAAATAAAGTACATAATAAATGTAATGCACCTGAATCATCCCCAAACCATCCCCACTCTCCCCACCCCCATCCGTGGAAAAGTCGTCTTCCATGATACCCATCCCTGGTGTCAAAAAGGTTGGGGATCACTGGTGTATAAGGCACATGAGACAACTTCTACCAACAGGGTCTCATGAGGTATTTGTGATGATGGTGGCGAATGGGAACTTCCAACTTCCATTTACAAAAATGTGAGCTAATAGTTTGTGAGCCCCTTCTATAGCCAGGCCAAGGCCAACCCATTCAAAAACAAAATATCCCACATTAAACAGATATATACGGAGCATATGCCAGGAGTGATGCCAGGTCCTGGAGATCCAGCTGTGAACAAGATAGACACAAGCCACCTACTTACAAGTGCTTTCTCACACTCCGGTTTGGGAGCTTCCTGGATCAATTTGCAGACTGGAAGTGCACTGCTCCACTCCCCATCAATGCACTGCTGCTCCTGCTTGCCCACTAAGTAGTACCTGAACCGAAATTAGAACAAGGCTTAGCTTTTCCACTTTCTGAATTGGGTAATGGAGACTGGTTTTGTGTAGTTGTTTTTCAGTATTTCATGCTGTGATGGAATCCACCTCCCCGCCCTTGAGCCTCAATGCATGCTTATCTTGGTATTTCAAAGCAGCTCAAAGTAAAACCATTCTCCTGGAGGTGGGGAGGACCCAAGTGAAGAGTCAACCCATAAAACATAGAGAAGTGAGAGATTCTGAATGAGGTGTTTACACACACAGGTTTTGGGTGGGGAGAGTGATAGAAGCACTTTATCATTCAATAACCTAAAAAGGCATCTGGCATCTAAGCTCTAGACAGGAGTAGAAAGTGAGAAACAGCCTGCAAATAAATCTCAGCGAAGGGGCTAAAAAGGAGCAATCAGAAAATCTGATTTCTTTTAATCAGAAAAACATGAGAGTTGCCTGCAAAGTGCATTGAAGGTATATAATGAGATTGAAATGCCAGTGAGGCCACATGACTCTGAGTTAATTAGGGGGCTTTAAGGGTCTATACACTAAGTCTTTATATTTTTGCACTTCCGTATTTGTTTTTTAGCATTTATATTCTCTGAGTTTTTTTTTTTTTTTTAGAAAAACGTACATTTTAGGCCAGGCATGGTGATTCGTGTTTGTAATTCCAGCACTTTGGGAAACCAAGGTGGGAGGATCACTTGAGCTCAGGAGTTCAAGACCAGCCTGGGCAACATAGGGAGACCCCATCTCTACAAAATCCTTAAAAAATTAGCCAAGCATGGTGGTCCATGCCTGTAGTCCCAGCTATTAGAGAAGCTAAGGTGGGAGGATCACGTGAGCCTAGGAGGCAGAGGTTGCAGTGAGCTATGAGTATACCACTGTACTCCAGCCTGGGTGACAGAGGGAGACACTGTCTCAAAAACAACAACCGCAAAAAAAAAAACAAAAAAACCCATACATTTAATTAATTTATTTATTTAGTTTTAAAACAGAGTATCACTTCTCCACCCAGGTTGAAGTGCAGTGGCACCATCTAGGCTCACGGCAACCTCCACCTCCTGGGTTCAAGCAATTCTCATGCCTCAGCCTCCTGAGTAGCTGGGATTACAGGAACGCACCACCATGCCCAGCTAATTTTTTTTATTTTTAGTAGAGACGAGGGTTTTGCCCTGTTGGCCAGGGCTGGTCTTGATCTCCTGACCTCAAGCAATCCACCCACCTTGGCATCTCGAAGTGCTGGGATTACAGGTGTCAGCCACGACGCCCAGCCAAACCCATACATTTTAAATAATTTACCTTGTCTTGGTAGAGGGAAAAAAGAGATACTTGCACTGGGGTAAGTAGGATACTTTAGTAGGATCAGTCCGTCTTCTAGGGATTGAGGAGAGCTAGCAGAGGGCCAAAGCAGCTCTCAAAATCAGAATGAGCTCAGAATCCTGCAGCAGTAGGAAATCAGATGACCAGGTGGACACAGGCTGGGTTATTCCCAAAAACAATGCTGCCAAGGGGCAAGATCTAGCACTTGACAAGCTGTGTTCACTTACCTGTGTTTACAGTAATAACTAATGGTGGATCCTAAGGTGAAATTATCTCCTTTAAAATAGCCGTGAGCTGGATTCCCAGGAGGGTCACAGTCCCCTGACAGAAAGGAGTATAGAAGTGACAGCTGTGAGGGCCAGGCATGCTCAATGAACAGCACCCCTAATTGCAGCTGTTTATGCCAGCACCTGATGTCCTCAGAGCAACACCTGTGAGATCTTGAAACATGTTCTTCATTCATTTCCTTCTCTTCTAATCATATTTGTCCATGGGAAAGAGCTTTCCCCCAGCTTATCTTCTAAGTTAGTAGGGATTTGGGAGTATTATCTGACTAGCAGGAGCTCAGGGAAAGAAATTTTAAGTTATAGAGAAGCTAATCATTAACATACAAGAAAATAAAAATTGGGCCATAGGTGAAGGCTGAAGAAATAACTCCATGAGAGAGGAGATGAAGTGTGTGAGCTCAAATGGAAGCTGACATCCCCTGGATAAGAGTTGTGAAGCATGAGTGTATTAGTCCATCTCACATTGTGATAAAGAAATACCTGAGACTGGGTAATTTATAAAGAAAAGAGGTTTAACTGGCTCATGTTTCTGCAAGAAGCATGGTGCTGGCATCTGCTCAGCTTCTGGGGAGGCCTCAGGATACTTACAATCATGGCAGAAGGTAAAGGGGGAGTGAGGCATCTCACATAACTGGAGCAGGAACAAGAGAGAGAGGGAGGAGGTGCTACACACTTTTAAACAACCAGATCTCATGAGAACTCACTCGCTGTCACGAGGACAGTACCTAGGGAGATGGTGCTAGACCATTCATGAGAAATCCACCTGCATGATCCAGTCACTTCCCACCAAGCCCCACCTCCAACACTGGAGATTACAATTCAATATGAGATTTGAGCAGGCAACACACATCCAAACTATATCAAGGAGAGTATCAGAAAAAGGGGAGAAGGTGGGAGCAGGGGCTCACACCTGTAATCCCAGCACGTTGGGAGGCCGAAGTGGGTGGATTACCTCAGGTCAGGAGTTTGAGACCAGCCTGCCCAACACGGTGAAACCCAGTCTCTACTAAAAATACAAAAATTAGCCCAGCGTGGGTGAGCGCCTGTAATCCCAGCTACTTGGGAGGCTGAGGCACGAGAATCGCTTGAACCTGGGAGGTGGAGGTTGCAGTGAGCCAAGATCGTGCCACTGTACTCCAGCCTGGGCAACAGAGCAAGACTCTGTCTCAAAAGAAAAAGACATAGGGAAGAACATGGCTGGAAGGGAAGAGAACGAGTCTGTGGAACTGTGGAAAGAAAGCAGGATGATGTATTAGGAGTTGTGAGTCTTGATACTGACTCTTCCACTAGCTATGTAGCACTAAAGCCATTTTGCACCTCTTGGCTTCCTTCCTAATATTACAGATAAGCAGGTTAAATAGTGTCATCTCTAAGGTCCCAGTCAGCTCTGAGACCACAGGACACTAAAGATGTCGATCAAAAATAGTGGCTAACAATGATTATGTAGGTGTATATTTACTGAAAAATAAAAGTCTTCTAAACAAATCGTTGAATAAAAACAGCAGATCATGAAAGAGTATATATAATATTATTTTTGTAAATCATGGTTACACAAACATAAGCACAGAAAAAAAGTATGTAAAGTTATATGCCAAAATACTTAATGCCCTTATCCTTAGATGGTAGGCTTGTAGGTAATTGGTCTCATCTTTTATTTTCTATATTTTTCTACAACAAAGGTGTATTAATATTACTTATGCAGTTAATACACTGTAATTTTTTTAAAGCTCAAAGACTGAGCTCAAAGGCTGAATAGAGGAAAGCAAGAAGAATTTCCAGGAGTTGTTTGGGGGATTCCAGTCCACCAGAGTTCTGGTAACTTTTATGAGTACAATTTTGAATGAAAGGAAACGATGTGGTAAACAGAAAGAATAAACAGAAAGAATCTGGTTTATTCAGAAACCTAGGGAGCTCATCCTAGATTTAGATAATGAAGTGACATAAAAAGACAGGGATTCTGTGGTTAAGAGCTAGAATAGAAACTACTGAATTAAAATAGAGTAAAACAGAAAATATTTGGAAGAAATAAGAAAATACTTGAAACTTGTGTCAAGCTAATGACATAAAATGATACTATATGCGTGTAATTTAACTGTATATATAATAGTATGTGTATGCATGTTTTAAGTAACCCCAAATTCCCTCATGTAAGAGCATATATAGTTTGTGCTCTTAAACTGTCTGTCTTTATTATTTCTTTCTTTCTTTCTTTCTTTTTTTAGAGACAGGCCTCACTATGTTGTCTAGGCTGGCCTCAAATTTCCGGACTCAAGCTATCCTCCTGCCTTAGCTTCCCAAGTAGCTGAGACTAGCTGGGACTGCAGGTGTGCACTACCATGCCTGGCTTTTATTATTTTAGTAGCTACTGCCAAAATACATCCAAATAGTGATAGCACTTTACACTGTTACTGACATAAATGGTTATTTCCTCAGATCATGAATGATATTAAATTAAATCCATCTTTTCATTTTTTGCTAATCTGCTCAATAAAAGATGTAGATCTAATTTTAATTTCCAGTTCTATAATCATTTGTAATGTTCAATATCCGTTCATATGATCGGGAAATAGAAGTGCTGTTTAGGGCCATTCTTTTGGAATTGCTGTCCTTACCTAACTTTGCTTATTTTCTATTGGGTTGTTTATTCCTTACTGATCTCTAGGGTATATTTGTTTATTAAAAACATTAACTCTTTAACCATCAAATATGTTGCAAATACTTTATTCAAGTCTGTTATCTTTTCACTTTTATGATGTTTCTTAGTATGTAGAAGTTTTTCTTTTAAAAATTTCACTAAATCTGCCCATTTTCTTCCTTTATGACTTCTGAGTTTTATGAAACTGCTTAGGAAGGCTTTCCCCATCCCAGTGCAATAAATATATTATCTCATTTTTTTTAATGATTTAATAATTTTGCTTTTTATAGTTATATATTTAAAATACATTTGGAATGTATTATGAATATGGTGTGAACTAGAGCCCTAACTTTGTCTTCTTCCAAATAGATAATTATTCCATTACCATTAAATAGACTTCTCCTCCTGACTTAATCTGTTCTACTTATCTGTACCCATACTTTGCTATTTTAATGACATATAATTTGTAGTACCTACAGTTTGCCATTTTAATGCTATTGTGCTCATAGTAACTTTGTAGTACGTTTTACTATCTAATACGGCAAGTATTCCTTTCTCTTTGATCCAGTCAAATATATACATCATTCATCATTTTCCCAAAAATATTTATAATGTTAGATGTCTACCTTACCAGAGGAGACTCTTTAATTAATGTTTTTTTTTCATATTTTTGAATTTAAAATTCTGGTAGGCATTGCATTATAATACTAAGTCTGCCCATCCAGGATCATGCATGTCTTTTCTTTCATTCAAGTCTTGTTTTTTATCTTCCAGTAAATTTTCATATAGATTTTGTGAATAGAATTATTTTTACATTTCAAATTCAACTAATAATTATTAATAGAAAATAAAAACATTGATTTTTTCAATATTTATTTTGTATCTAAGTATGTATTAAATATTTTAGTAGAATTTCTTGGATATTTGAAGCATATTCTGCAAATAATGGCATCCTGTGATCCAGCAATCATTTTAGGAATCTATCTTATAGAAATAACATAGTAGCCGGGCACGGTGGCTCACGCCTGTAATCCCAGCACTTTGGGAGGCCGAGGTGGGTGGATCACAAGATTAGGAGTTCGAGACCAGTCTGGCCAAGATGGTGAAACCCTGTCTCTACTAAAAATACAAAAATTAGCCAGGCGTGGTAGCAGACACCTGTAACCCAGCTACTCGGGAGGCTGAGGCAGGAGAATCACTAGAACGTGGGTGGTAGAGGTTACAGTGAGCCAAGATTGCACCACTGCACTGTGGCCTGGGCAATAGAGCAAGACTCCATCTAAAAAAAAAAAAAAAAGAAAGAAAGAAAGACTCCATCTCAAAAAAAAAAAAGAAAGAAAGAAAGAAAGAACAACGTAGATGTAAGAATATGTGTGTGTATAAAATACTCATTTCAGCATTGTTCCTAACAGGAAAAATGTTAAAATAATATGAGAGCCATATAATAAATTATGACATACACATATGCAGTTATTAAATAGTAGGCAATAGAGCTATATGGACTGGTCAGGGAAAATGGCCATGTACATAGTTACATGAAGAAAAGCAATTTAAAAATATGTATAGTAAGTCCCATTTCTATAGGTATATTCATATAATTACATACACACAAAATGGCATTTAATGCTTCTATAATTTAAATATTTCATTTGTGTGTGTTTGTTTTAAATGTCTGTATAAACATAAGAAAAAGTCATGAAATAAACACACCTAACTTACTAATTCTGAAAGATATGAATTGTAGTGATAGAAAGAGGGTCTTTAAGCCTCTTGTAGATAATTTTGCAATAGATGAGTTATGATCTTTTCCCCCTGTTTTGTGTTTACTTTTCAAACAAAGACCTTAAATCACTGTCTTGAAATTGAAAAATAAAATAGTCAATGCTCCAAACTACCCTGCATTAGACCTAGTAGGACAGGACCCCTATTTGAGAAGGAAAAAAAGTGTGCTTTGGATGCTGTTCACTGCAATGGAATGTATTCTCTTGAGGTGAGATTTGGTTCTGTGAGCTCCACTCATTTCATGGCTGTCTGCTAGATCTTAAGCCCATCCCTGATACAAAAAAAGAGAAAAGCGTCCCAGGGATGTTGCAAATGTCTAAGTTTACACTACTAATCAGTATTTTGGGGATTCTTGATGGCTTCTCTTGTACTTACTACTTTTGCAGATGGGAAAGGGAGGTGCCCAGGTGTGGTCCTCTAGACACTGGCTCCAATTGCTGCCCTTGAGGATGTAGTGGTCATTGCACTTAAATGTGATTTTGTCACTTACATTTACAGGCCCCGAAGTACTGAACTCGCCATTCACCAGCACAGGATCAGGACAGTGGCCCACTGAAGAAGAAAATAAGCAATAATCTGAAAGGGCAAGGCTGAAAGCCAACACAGCAAAGGTCAGACCTCCTCAGTCTTCAGTGAAAAAACAGCAAATTAGAGCTAATACTGCACATTTTTAATTCGGCGAAGTACCTGGTACTGCCATATCAATGCAGAATGAAAAAAAAGAGGAGATCGACCTAAGTACTTTAAAAAAAGAGCTTTGTCATGCACAAGAACAACATGAATTGGCAACTGAAAGTAATTTATTACATAACTGAAAGTTACCAATAGTATGTTTATTGTACTGTTATATTAAGCATGGCTCAAAATTCATAAGCCTATGTTTGAGGCAAGTATTTCCTTCCCTTTCATCCAGCCAAATATATACTTACTTAGCATTTTTTATTATGTTGTGCTTTTTCCCATGGCATGGAAAAAGACAGGAGAGAATGCACAGGGATATGAGTTTGGTTACATGAATGAAGGATCATAATATCGGTGTGCTCTACTCTAGGTATACAAGAGAACTAATGCAACTATTCTTTTAAAAACTAGTAGTAACAAATAGAATATGGATTAATTATTCCCCATCTCCACAGAGGATATCAGAAATGGGTTTTGTGACCTTGAGCAAATCAGTTGGATCTCAATTATCACATTGGTAAACTGAGAATACAAACTATTCCCAGTTCAAAAGTTATATGATAGGTGAAATAAAATGATATGATGTACTTCCTTCAAAATAATAAAGTGAGGATATACATGAAACAAGATTAGTCTTGTGTGGATAATTGATGAAATTATGTGATGAATCTCTATGAGTGAATTTGACTCTTCTGTCTTTTGTATACATTTTAAATTTTCCATAACATAAACATTTTTAAAGCAATATAAAGTTAAACAAATTACAGCAAAAAAAAAGAGTTCTAATATCTGGAAGAAATTATTTCTTTCCCATAGTGGGAATTGATTCTATTAATTCAACTAAATTAATACTGATCAAGATCTGATCATGGAGCTTCCAAGAGAAGCTCTTCCACTAGAGTGCTTTAAAAGAGGTTTTCTAGTAATTGAGAATTTTTGTTTTCTTATAAAGTTTTACCATGGCCTATAGGAAGTAGGATGTGAAGGAGTAAAACAGGATATCAATAAGGGCAAAGATACAGAAAGATCTAACTTACAGCGGCACTCAGTAGTGGTGTTATCCCACTCCTTAGAGGCATTGCAAAAAACGGTCTTCTTTCCTACCAGGTGGTAGCCTTTGATACAAACATAAGTCCCCAGAATCTGTCCTTCCACCTCCTTTGCGATAAATATGCTATTATTCACTGGAGGAAGTTCTGGACAGTGCTCTGCTGGAAGGAAGAAGAAAACAGATCCACTTGGCATATCATGTGCTGTCAGGGAGCCCTTATTAGATTTCCCCATCCTCGTGTCTTTTTGCTGGATTATTGATCCTGATTCCTGTACTCTTCCACGTCCATGTCATCCATGTCCTTCCCTTCCAACAGATTTCCAAAGGTTTCTTTTTTTGTTTTTGTTTTGTTTTATTTTGTTTTTTGAGACGAAGTCTCACTCTGTCACCCAGGCTGGAGTACAGTGGCACGATCTCGGCTCACTGCAAACTCTGCCTCCTGGGTTCACACCCATTCTCCTGCCTCAGCCTCCCGAGCAGATGGGACTACAGGGGCCCAGCACCACGACCGGCTAATTTTTTTGTATTTTTAGCAGAGACGGAGTTTCACCGTGTTAGCCAGGATGGTCTCAATCTCCTGACCTCATGATCTGCCCACCTCGGCCTCCCAAAGTGCTGGGATTACAGGCATGAGCCACTGCACCCGGCCAGATTTCCAAAGTTTTATTTCCAAAAGTATAACAGGAATCTTACTCAAATTTCAGCCACAAGTTATCCACTTCTAAACAAATAGTCCCCTACCCAAATAGCGGTCCTGGAGTTTATAACAAGTAAGACGTCCCAGGATTTTGAAATTGGTATTCTTTTTGCTCCCAGAACAGAAAGGGAAAGTAAACAGTAACCACCCACTTCAGAGATCAGGGTCATCATTAAATGTATAGTAAGCTCCTATTGAGTGCAGAGCATTAGGCCAATTTGAGACTTTTTCAATAGAAGAATAAATATTAGAAATGTAAACTTCCTTAAAGCTCTACACAGAGTTCCTCTAAACCCTGCAAACTGACACCAAATGCCTGGTAAGCTGAGTTGAAGGAAAGCATACGTACCATCTGAAGCAGAAACCCACCATGCAACCATAAGACAGCACGCACACCAAAAAAACATCTGGTGATCAAAGTCCTCACCCCAGGCTGGAATTTACCCAGCCCAGATACCTGGTTTGAAAAACAAAATAGATCTTCTAACACTGCTTAAGATCAGCCCAACCACCTCCTTTCTAGAGAAGAGGTTATATTGATTTCCCCTCCCTGAAGAAAATGAAAAGAAAAAATCTTACGACAGGAAATCAGAACAGTTGTAAGGAAGCTGGCATAGAGAGGAACTGCAAAAATACAAAGGGATGACAAAAGAGCTGCCAGGTTTAAAACTCAGTTTCAGAAATTTCCTGGTTTCTGGGAATGCAAATCCATTTGACCAGTCTTTTCGAACTACAGGCTTATCCTTCCCCAACAAACGTGGGCCAAATGGTCTTGCCATGACCTTGACTTCTGTCAATATTTGTCAATGTTTACAGTCCACCTTCTGTAACTCTGACCAGCACTGGGGAAAGAGAACAGGCTGTCAATCCCTGGTTCTTGCCCAGGTAGGACCCAATTTTGAATGCTACCTCATCCTCCTTTCCTGAATACCAGATATCCTAAGGCTGTAAGCGGCACCGAAGACAGAAAGCTCAAGGAAGTAAACTAACCTTACCTGTCTGTCCCTCCAGAGCTATGGCTTCCTAGCAAGGAGCTGGTCTTAACTGACTCCAAACCTGAGTGCTCCAAAGTCCTGCAGTGACCCATTGTCCTCGCTTGCCAGGCCCGTACCCAGGCTTCCTACTTGGTGGCTCTTCCAGGGACAGGATTTGGCCTGAGTCCAGAGTTAACCAAATGAGTAAAGAGAGAGGTGAGGGGAATGCTTTGGTCTCAGGAACTAAGGCATGTAAAATTGTTTTGAGGGCTCCCATATCATCTTGCTTATGACTACTAGAACACTTCGTTGGTTCTCTGTGCTCCAATTATGAAATTGGGGTAAAATTCCTACAAAATTTCAGGTTTTAATAGAAAATAAAGCATTAAGGACACAGTAAGGTTGCAAATGTTCTTCTCTTCCCCACCCATTATTACTATTTGTAATGATTAATCTATGTCTTTCTCCTGAAAGGAATCAGCATATGCCACCCCCAAATATTTGGCATAAAGATTCGTTTAAGCTGAAGATATTTGAGATTCAGTGATATGGAAAGGAACAGAGCTTTTTGGGGCTTTCCTTATCTGACTAAAGGCAGCAACCTTGGAGATAAGGTTGCCATCAATTCCTTTTCAGGACAGATCTATCCTGGAAGGGAGAGCATGAGTGAAACATATTTCAAATTCCTTCTCCAGGGAAATTTCATGGCCTTGAAGGAGACAGAAAGAACACTCGTACTTATATACACAAACATTATTACAAAACTTGCAAATTTCCTACTTTTCCCCTGAAAATCCACTTACCTTTCCAAAAAATAATCTGTTTTCTTTTTTGTTTGAAATGGTGTCTTGGCATGATCTCGGCTCACTGCAACCTCCGCCTCCCGGGTTCAGGCGATTCTTGTGCCTCAGTCTCCCAAGTAGCTGAAATTACAGGCATGCACTACCATGTCTGGCTAATTTTTGCATTCTTAGCAGAGACGGGGTTTCACCATGTTGGCCAAACTGGTCTCAAATTCCTGACCTCAAATGATCCACCCGCCTTGGCCTCCCAAAGTGCTGGGATTATAGGCATGAGCCACCGCACCTGGCCAGTAATCTCTTTTCTTATAAGTGCCTTTCTTCTCCCCACCTTCATCTATTAAGATGATGTATAAGCCCCAATTCTAAACAACTTTTTGAATTACTCATCACTGAGTTTTCCCACATATACTCATGTTACATGTATAAACAGAATTTTCTCTCCTGTTAATCTGTCTTAGTCTAATTTGCAGGTCCCAGTCACTGAATATAATATGGTAGAGGAAAGCTGTTTTTTTTTCCTCCCCTTTATTCCCACAGGAAACTGCTAATTCCAGGACAGGGTTTGTGTCTGATTTGTATTGTATTCCCTTCCACGGTGCTTCCTATTGCAAAGCAGTTGTCTGTTAAATGCATGCAAGTAAAGCAGAAATAAATGAAAAAAACACAGTCATCCAGAAACTCTACCACAGCCCTCAAAATCCATATGATCACTTGCCATTTATCGCATGCTGCCTTATGATTTTTTATGTCTTATTTTTTCTCAACTAATATGTAAATTCCTATAGTGTAAGCACCCTCTAAGATATGATTTTCAAAAAGTTAAAAATATGACACTTAAGTAAATATAAGACGAAATGTATCAAAGATTTAATTCAACTCATTAATGAGGAACCATTCAGATGCTACAACTGATTCGAAGAATTTGAGGAATAGCAATGCATATAGTCTGTCAGTCAAAAGCATTCTGAAGTGACCTTTCCAATAGATACAAAACTGGTTAATATCCTACAGAGTAACAAACTGTAATATTTGCAATTGGCTTTTCTACCTGGTGGAAAGTAATTAAAACAAAATGGACAAAATATATTTGCTCTACTATAATCAGGAATCATTTGCATTGTTCTCAGATAAGAATCATTTGCATTCCTATCAATTTACTGCAAATTAACCTCTATGCTTCAAGAGTTCTAAAAGAGCCTAATTAATATAAAGTCAATCAGAGTCACATACTCCTGTGAATTGATCATCTCCAGAGGGCCTGCTAGAAAATGCCCAGGAATCCGTTGAACATTTACTCCAGTGATCTCTTTTTGCCAAACCTAAGCTTTCAATAATTTTTCTTTACATACCCCATGTTCTACTTCTTGAGGAATGAATGTTCTTCAGTGTCTTTTATAGATTTATATACAGAATGTTTGTACAATAAATTATTTTAGAAAGGAAAAAATGTCTAGTTTAGCCCTACATAAATATGGACGTAAAATAGAACATGTACTATAGCAAATACTTGCAAGTAATTCTTCATCTTAATGACTTACTTCAGATTCAGAACTATTAGGACTCTAGAAACCATATTGCTTATACTATTGTCTTACTAATATTTCTCCACAAAATATAAAAATACAAAAATATTCACACAAAGTGGGCTATATAGAGACAATAAATAGCATCACGAAGTTTGGGTCAAGTTTTTTTCTGTCAAATGAGTTAGAAGAAAACTCTGCCTCAAAGGTTTTTGGATTTTAGAATTACAGATTAAAGAGAGAAACAGAGTGATCAAAAGAGAGAGAGAGAATAATATGATGGGTCTTGGGAGAGAGGCAGAATCAGACACAGATGCAGAGAGATAGAGACGCTTAGGAAGGGGTGTCTGGGGACTCTGAAGGACAAGTCTCCACCTGGCACTGCCATTGTCCCCCCGCCCCAACCCCGCTCTTCTTCCTCAGTCCTCTCTCTCTGCAGGACGAGCAAGAGCATCAGAGACAGAGATGGAGACAAAGGACAGACAGAGGAGACACTGACAGAGTGAATCAGAGAGAGACAGAAATAAAGACAGAGACAGAGGAATTTCTCCTCTTCCCTCTGCCTCTCTCCTCTCCCCAACACCTCCCCCTTCACCACCTTCCTGCCTCCCTTTGCTCCCTTTCCAAGCCTGCATGTTCTTCAGGGCTTTCCCTCGGCTCCAGGACAGGGTCCTCCTGGAGCTCCTGATGGGTGAATATTTACACCACAAGAGTGGTTAAAGATTAGAGGCTTATATATTTTACTATGAGTATCCAAAATCAGGTAAATTAACATATGAGCATTTGCAGGCTCTTTTATTCCTCTGAACATTAAAAGACAATTGGATCTATGCCAGATTGTTTCCTGAAGAACTGGGGTAATAGGTCAGGTGAAACTGTTTTTCTCAGACCCGTTTCATTGCTTTACAATGGAACGGGCAAGCTGGGCATAGTGGCTCATGCCTGTAATCCCAACATTTTGGGAGGCTGAGGCAGGTGGATGGCTTGAGCCCAGGAGTTCGAGACCAGCATAGCAAGACCTCATCTCTACAAAAAAATATATATATAAATATATTCAAATATATATGAATACATTCACATATATGTGACTATATTCAAATATATTTGAGTATATTCAAATATATGTGAACGTACTCAAATATATTCAAATATATGATATATATTATATATCATATATTCATATATAGGAATATATATGAATATGTGTGAAATATATGTGAATATATGTGATAATATATATCATATATATGAATATATTCATATGTATTTGAATATATTCATATATTTGAAAATATTTATATATGAATGTATATATTAGAATATACATATGTGTATATATATTAGACAGGCACGGTGGCATGTGCCTGTAGTCCTAGCTACTTGGGAGGCTGAGACAGGAGGATCACCTGAGTCCAGGAGATCAAGGCTTCAGTGAGCTGTAATTGCACCACTGCACTCCAGTATAGGCAACAAAGCTAGAACCTGTTTCAAAACAAACAAACAACAACAACAAAACACAAAGAAATGGGCAGATGGTAGTTAAAGGAAGAGATCAGGAGGCGAGGAAGGAGGAGTAGAAATATAAAAGTCAGCAATGCCCAATCTGGGGGAAGAGTTATGGGAAGTTATAAAGGGGCACACACATTGCAGTGTGTGTAAGATTTTAGGAGAATTCAGGAAACACTATTTTAAGAAGTTCTACAGGGTGTCATGAATGGATTCCCTTTGGTCTTTGTCAAGAGAATTCAGAAAAGATTTAAATTGCTCTTCTAATTGTTTTTTACACGTTGGGTTGATGTTTCTTGAATGCCTCAACAAAACAACCCGGGCCAGAAAAGTGTTGGGAGTGCACAGACACATAGTCAAACTTATGAACAAGGCATTTGAGGTTGGGGCATGGAAAAATACTGAGGCACAGTGTGTGTGTTATTTGTGCATGAGAATGTAATTCCTTGACCCTGAAAACAGGACAAGGAGTGGAGTGTGTGGTAAGGAACACTGAAAACAGCCCCCTGAGAATTCGGTTTGAGTGCTTTTACAAGGCCACAGGTGTCTCACGATCCGACCTCAAAAAGCCATCTAGTGGATGTTTGTGGTTTAACAAGGCCCTTTCAATAAATAATGGTGTTCAGATGCTGTGGCGGACTCTCTCGCAAGAGCTGCCCCCTGCCCCGCTCAGCTGGAATTTTCTAAGAACTCATTCTTGGCATTCACTGCAAGCTATAAGCTTTGCAAAAAGTAGCCTGAAGGCAGATTCCATGAGAACATAAATTTTAAAGAATTTTTAAAAATCAAATTGTTCATGAAACACTGTAGAATAAGCTTTAATTATGAGTTTAGATGGACCTGCACTGTGGCAAGATCAGAGGTGATGCATTGTTACTCTAAGTTTTA